TTTTTACCTCTCCTCTGGCAGTGTCTCCCAACCTGCTGTTAGGGTCCTCCCACTTCTCTGACATGTGACATTTAATCTGTGCCTTCGAAAGTCTTTCTGGCTTTTCCTTGGTTATTTATGTATAATTGGGTCTGGATTCCTGTCCTCCAAAGGTTCTAGGCCTGTGGTTGGTTCCCTAAGACCTCCCCTGGCTCCTCCCATCACCCATGTGGGCTGCCCCTCTAAGCTTGAAGGAGGTGCTGGGCGGTTGCAGGGGTTGGTTTGCCATCTGTGAGTCCCTCCCAGAGCTGTGGCCTTCCTCATACCCCTTTTGTTCCTAAATACTGCTCAGTCCAGTCCAGGCTCTCCTGTCCACCTGACCCCTGACTGGAGCCCTCTGGGGATGGGCAGGTCAATACAGCTGGAAGCCCTACCCTGTGAGGGAGCCTCAGGGTTTTTGCTGTGGGGACTGGTGGGGTCCCCTACCCTGGGTGTCAGCTGACCTTGGGACAGGTACTCAAGTGTGCTTGAAGGTCCATTGGCTGGTGGCAAAATGGGGACAAGAAAGGTGGGCACGAGGACCCCTGGAGAGAAGCAGGAGAGGGGCCTGCCCCCACCAGGTGGCTGGTGGCCCTGGAGCCTGGACTCTGGTGGGAGATGGAAGATAACTAAAGGACAGGCATGACATTTAGTGAGAATTTCTGAGAGCAGGAGGGAGGTACAGGGCCTTGGAGGTGATTACAGGGCTGACCTGCTCCAGAATGGACACCCCTGAGTGAGTGGTGCTGAGCAGGGCAGGCGGAAGGGAGGCGAATGCAGGACTCTTGACTCAGGGATATGAGGCCTGGAGACCAGAGGAGCTGGGCAAGTGGGATACAAAGTAAGGCCTAAGCAGACGGAGAGGGGCTGTGGGCAGCAGTGACTGCGTCTGCTTTGAAGGGTAGAATGGGTCACATAGACAATAGGCTTCGTGGTGGGGACAGCAGAAATGGGACACAAAGGGTTCATCTTCTCTTTGGGGAGAGGCACATTCTTGTGATGTGCTGAGAAGGTGGCTTGGCAATTGAGGGAGATTGGGGTACCATGGTGGGGTTCCCTAGACTCCTGTCTTGAGCATTCCGTCCCAGGGGAAGACAGGCATGGAGGAACACATTGTGTTGGAGGGACTGAGACACCCCAGAGAGATGGCCAGAAGCTATGGGACCAGAGGGTTGTGCCTTTGGGGTCTGTGATTTGCAGGGGTACATAATGTTGGGAGTGGATGGGTCAGTGTGTGGACAGAGCAGGAGGGGTGCTTAGAAATGGCAGCAAAGAGCCACCTTGAAAGTGGGTTCTGGGATGCAGGCTCTTCTGGGTGTGGGGGTGTATGCCTGCATCCCAGTGTTCACCATCGGATTTGCCCACCCCATGGACCTGCAACTTTCTCGTGCCAGTAGCCTCACAAGTCCCATGTCACCCAGTGGCTCTCTGCCTGGCTTCCCTGGCATACATTGCCAGTCCTTCAGTCATTGTTCATCCCCCTGGGACCCGAGAGCTCCCTGGCCCTGTGTACTTGAAGTCTGGAGGGTGTCCAGGCCAGGTTGATGGCACTTTTCTTGTCCTATTGCCCCGGCATTGGTGCCCTACTCTGTGGATCCCCCAACAGAAGGTTCTAGTTCTTTTTCTTTTCAGCCTTCAGGTAAATTCATACAAATTGTAATTTTATACAAATTGTTAAAATTTTACCTGCAGTGGTCAAGTGGATGACTGCCCAGTGAGTGACCCTGGGTGTGCTGTGCCTCAGTTTCCCCACCTGTGAACTGGGACCAACCACTCAGGTGCCTCCATCCTGGGGCTGCTGGGAGGATTGACTCTTTGACCCAACCATGTGCTTATCACAGTGGCCCAGGGCTCCTCTAAAGGATCAGCGACCTTAGATGAAGGCAGGGACATAACCCTATGCAGAGTTAACATCCTGGAGGGCACACTGATGGAGAGCGACCATTGAACACATGTGAGTCAGTGGGGGAGAAGAGTGCTCTGGAGAGCGCCTGTTCATTTGTGGGACACCTTTCAGCTGGACCTTGTTCCCACCCCTCCTGAGGTGGCTGGATTTGGGAATTTGATGTAAAGAATTGAGTGGAACCCTGGCCAGTGTGG